CTTGGCGAGGTTACTCCCAAGGTTAAACTTACAAGGGCCAATCGACCAAAGACGAAACCTCGGCTGAGGCATGATGATTCGCAGATCCAGTTCGCTGTGATTGAGCCTTCGTCTGTGGGGGGCAACGAGATGGAATCTCAAGTGCTTACAGAGAGGCAGAAGGAGGTTCGAGAACGGCAGAAAGAAACGACGGCTTTGTTTCCGGAAATCTGCTCTAGTCCGGGCATGAAATCAAAGGATGCAAAGAATCATATTCTGCCAAGCCGCATGTCCTCGCCTGGAAAGGGAAGCCAACACGATCAAGACAAGATCTCTTTGACTCCTGAGCCTCTGAACTCTCAGGGCCGCATCGCCGTCACCCCTGAGCCGGATGCAGGGTATAATGACTATGTATCTTCGACGCCTACTCCACGACGGGGTCAGCTAATCCCCATCCCCGACCACGATATGATGGACCCTCCATCATCTCCTCCCGAGCCCAGAGGAAACCCCTTGGCAGCCGAGATACGATCGAGGTCCGCCAGTAATAGCCTCCTCGACGACTGGCAATTTTCCTCGTCGCCGATTTCTGGTTCGCCAAACCCTGCCCGACAAGAAGTAATCAGTGAGCTTACCGGGCCGGGTGAGGACATCACCATGTCTGATTCGGGCGAGGATCTTCCTCAATCGCAGTATGACGCCGGAATGATGACAGAAGAAGTTGTTGAACCGATGATTGACAATGAGGTGATCGAAGAGAGCATTATTATGAATACGGAAGCTCCTAGAGTCAGTCCTACCATTTTCAAGCTAGACCCCATCGGCCCTCAAACGCCGTCCAAGAACACTCGGTCGGCCCACCGCCAGGAGACGCCAAAATCCGACACCGAGGTCTTCGTAGATGCTCCTACGAGTCCTCTGACGCCCTCACCGAGACGAACGGAGAGGATGACTCGATCTGTTGCCCGGTCGACGAGTGCTCTAGCCAACGAGGTTCCGGCTGCCCCGGTGATCAACAACACATCCTTCAACAGCATCAGTGATCTGGATGAGACAAGTCTGCTGCGGCTGGTTGTTGAGTTGGACGCTGGAAAGCTTGACCCAACCGAGTATGATCGCGCCTCAGCATCAACTGCGTCCCCACACAAAACGGATCTCAGCCAACAACAAGAAGTACCTCGTGCTGTCTCGCCCCGTGATTGCATCGTGGTTGGTGATAGTCCCACCAAGCGTCCCGTCAGCAGTCAAGCATCTCGTCGAAACAATCGCTCGTCTTCAGCGGCCGTTCCTTGCTCGGACGACGGCTCGGACGCATCACAGGCAACTAGCAGGGGCCGGCGCGGCAAACGCGGCAAGCGGAAGAGGACCCTGTCCAAGATCCACGACGCTGCCGAGATGGAGACCGAATCCAGGATTGGTGCCGACGCCGGGGGCGGTAAGAAACTCAAGGCTCACCATGGCGCCTCTCCGGGCTCCTCATTCTCCTCCACCGCTGGCACCGGACTTGATGCCGAGGTCCCAGATAGTCAACCAACGACCGACAACGACAATCAGGAGCCAGCCCAAGGTACGCCGTTTTCGTTTTTCAAGAATTGCCTAAGTTGGTGCAAGCAGCTAATATCTCCCTTTGCTCAGCCGCTACAACAGCTGTAGTCGACCATAACCACGACGACAGGATCACAAAGGACAGGGGGGTCACCATTCCGAGTTCTTTGCCTGAGGAGGCTAGCCAGCAGTCGTCGGTGTCCACTAGTTTGTCGGTGCCATCTGAAGAGGAGGAGCATCGTGAGCTTGCTGGGGCGGACGGAGATGTCCAGATGGGTGATGTTGTGATTGATGGGGAGGATGATCAGGATGCGGATGTGCAGAGCCAGATTGCGTTGGAGCTGTCTCAGAGTCAGAGTCAACAGGAAGACGAAGCCGAGGAAGTCATGGAAATGGATGGGAAAGATAAGGATCTTGTTCTCCAGGAAGAAGAGAACGATGACGAAAACGACACTACTATCACTGATAATTCGACGGAGAAGGAAATGGAGGAGCTGTCATTACAAAACCAGGAAACCGGACTGGAAGAACCAAGGGGGCAAGAGTCGCCGCGGCCAGTCAGCCCCGTGAAGAAACTCATGGACTTCTTCCACGGAAGTCTGGATATCCTACGATCTGCGAGACTCTCTAGACAGGAGGTCTCCGAGATCGAGGATGTGTTTATGGATATGAAACGGGAATTGTATAATGCTGAGAGCAGGGGACGAGAAAGGAGTAGGAGTGTTGGTAGTTTAGCTGGTCCTTCTGGAGAAGGAGCATCAAGGCCTGCTTCGGCGTCAGGGTTAGCGGGGGAAAGAAGGTGATACCTAGGTAATTGACATGGTTTCTTTGTTTTGTGAACGTACATCATCTTCATGGGCGGTGTTGGAGTTTCGGAATAGCGATGTTTTGCATTTCCTTCTTCATTGTGGTGGGTCGAGATATCATCGTCATCAGCATTGGCTCATTTTCCTCATTTCCTATTCTTTTCGGCGCTCTCTGTATATATCTAGCTATGGCGATCGCGGGATGGGCAAACAGGTCAGAATGGAAATCAGCTACCAAGATAGCTACCCGGGAGGACAGGAAACAAATACTAGGCGCGCTGGATAGTGGTGATTGTATATACTGCCATGTGTACCTATATGGATACCCATTCTTGAAGCAACCCAATCTAGAACATGTCAAAGAATGTATATATAGAGTCTGTGAGTGTGACAAGAACCTGTACTTGAACATGAGACAAAACATATTCGTAAGCAAGCATACGTAAGCAAGGACACGAAGATGTTTGACCTTGGTGTTTGCAGCACAGCTCTGAGGAACTTGGGAGCTGAGTATCAAGCCGTGATCGGTGATACGGGGCGGACTGGCTTGTTTCAGGTCGGTGTTGAGCTTCCCGTCGAAGGAGCGGGCCTAGAACTTGGTGATACACGTGGAGTGTGGTTGCTACTACTCATCGCCCGAGCAGCAAGAACCCCGCATCATGAGCAGCACCAACTACCTTAGGTAATTACCCCTCCCCCTCAGCAACGGCTCACGGCGCAGTTCTGAGCCAACAAGACGCCAGGCCCAAGAAAGAATCAAGAGCAGAAGCATGAATTGAACCAAACCTTTGCTCCTTCACCATCAGCAGATCCCAAGACTGAGCCACACACAATACCGGTAGCTCATCACACACCCACACGTCGCTCCTGGTCTCTGTGGAAGCTTCTCCCCTCCTTCTCCCCTCGACCCCACCTACTTTACCTGTAGCTACCACGCCCAACCAACTTCTAAGCAAACATCAACTCCATCCTCCTCCATTCGACATACATCACCAACCCGCCTTTATTTGCTCAATTGCTTGTATCTGACTTGTTGTTCTTTTCTTCTCTGCTTAGCATTCTAGCACATTCACGTAGCCTGCCTGCCTTCCTGATCCAGTCTCTTCTCGTCGTTGCCGCCCTGCCGTAGCGTTTGTACCTTGGCTACATCTCAATAAACTGGAAACCAAGATATCCATATTAAAATAAGCAAAAATGGTCGGAAAAGGCAACAAGCCCAGCATGCTGGCTAGCACTCCCGGCCTTGCGCCGCAGCCACAGGTGACTTTCTCGGACGACAACGGCCGTGTGACTGCCGTGCTCCCCACTGGCGAGAGCGTCGAGGTCCTTCTCTACGGCGCAACCGTCATCAGCTGGAAGGACAAAAATGGCGACGAGAAGCTGTGGTTGAGCAAGGCGGCCAAGCTGGATGGGTCCAAGGCCGTCCGGGGAGGTATCCCGCTTGTGTTCCCGGTTGGTCACTCCATCTGTCCACGAAAATATGAGGAACGAGATGCTGATCGAGGCTGAGCCCAACAATAGGTCTTCGGAACCGCCCCAGACCACGAACAGACGTCCAAACTACCCCAACACGGCTTCGCTCGCACCTCGCGCTGGGAATTCTTGGGCAAGTCCACCTCGGAGTCGACCCCGGCCTCGTCCACAGCTGCCGACCTGTCTGTTAAGCTCGACTTTGGCCTGAGTTCGGCCGGTCTCGACAGCGATGCCAAGAGCAAGTGGCCTTATGCCTTTAACCTCATCTACAGCGTCACACTCGGTCGCGAGAGCCTGACCACCAGTTTGGTCGTGTCCAACGATGACGACAAGCCGTTTGACGTCCAGGTGCTGCTGCATACTTATCTACGAGTCAAGGTAATCCTCCGGTAGCTTCCATTTCATGACCTTGACCTAACCAATTTGATCACAGGACATCTCCTCGGTATCGATCACCGGCCTCGGCTCAGCGACTTACATCGACAAGGTTGGCGGCGTCTCGCCACCTCAGACTCAATCCGCCTCGGAGCTGACCATCTCGGGCGAGGTCGATCGGGTATACACTCCCAAAGACGGCGCATCACCAACCGAGGTAGTCCCCGTCACCGTGGTCGAGGGCGGCAAGACCAAGTTCACTGTCGTCCGCGACAACCTCAGCAACGTGGTGGTGTGGAACCCCTGGGTCGACAAGGCCAACGGACTCGGCGATTTCGAGCCCAAGGACGGATACAAGAATATGCTCTGCATTGAGCCGGGAAGCGTGTCTGGGTGGCAGACTCTGGAGGCTGGTGATGCGTTTGAGGGCGCGCAGACTATTAGCTTTTCGTATTGAATCGGGGCCGGACCGAGGCTGTGAGGGGGGCAGATGAAGGGTAGACGACGTTTACGAAAATGATCATGACCAAAACAGGATGGACTGCGTGGAAGAGATTGGGGGTCAATAAGACTTGTTTACGAGTGGTGATTCTGTGGTTCGAAACCAAGAGGAGGTCACCGGCCAGACATTACGAGTATACCAGCCAGCCGGGGTATACATTACATACACAAAGCCATTGTTGCCCTAGCCATACAGGCATATAGAAAATGAGACGAAATGAAGACATGGGATCGATGCCATTCATATCGACAATAGCGTCCCTATCTAGCATTATGGCTGCCAGAAATGATATGAGACTGAATATTAAAAATAAGATGCCATGCCCCCGAGCGGAATCGAACCACGAACCGGACCAGCCCTGATATTTCTAATACAGTTTGGAAAAATAACTTGAAAACGTGTTTGAAATATCAGTACTGGTCCGCACTCAGACCACTGAGCCACGGGGGCTTATTCGTTTTGTGGCTTTCTGGCAATAGGGGTATGCTGATGGAGGAGGATGATCGTTTGGTGATAGTGGAGAATGCATGTGAGAAAGAGAATACGTAGATAACTTCAGTGTAAGAGGGTCTGGTGGTCAGTGGCGTATCTAAGTTAGGTAAGTTCTTTGAGTTCTTGGTGGCTTTCGCCCCGAGGTGTCTGTCTGCTTGTGATCTGCCTTTTGTCATGTCAAGCTGACATTTCATTCTTGATAGACTTTTTTCCCACCGATTTGCTTTATTTCCATCCTGTCATGCTTCCGAGTTTCCCAATTCCCAATTCCCAATTCCGATCCTACACCTACCATCTTTTTTCATTTGATCATTGTCTGTTATCCCATGATTTCTATTTTGTTTTATTTTGTTATGAACTAAACTGTTTGAGATAAGAAAAGAGAAAAAGAGGAAAGTGGTATCATTCCAACTCGACAGAAGAATCCAACACTGAAGAATGAAAAGCGGTAGGTAGCAAAGGGTAGCAAAAAGGGCTGCCTGGCTGGTCAATCAACTAACTCGGCCATCACCCATCGGCAACAGCGGCCGATGGCTAGCAAGCAAACCATCACCATCGCCATGCTCTTCCAGCAAAAAAAAAAACCCCAAAATCTATAACCAACCTACCAAAGAAGAAGAATGAACCAATCCTCCCAACCCATCCAGAATAGCAGAAACATCCCCCCAACTCCCCGACATCTCCACGCCCAGATTAACAGCCGTACTAACACACCAAATCCCAATCAGTCCCCATCCAATCCGTCGACTCATGACCCATTTATTCGACGGCACGACGATCAACAGCACAATCAGCGTCAACAACACAGTGATGGCGCTGACCAGCAGTGTTCCCCCGACTTGGATTTTATACGGCCGATAAATCATGGGTTTGTCGGGGTGTTTGGCGTGTCTCTTTCTTGCGTTGGAGACGCCCATGAGGGCACCGCCTATACCTACGCCTAGGAGGATGTTAAGCATTGGACCGCCGAAGCAGGCTGCTCTTTTTTGGGGGGAAAATAAAACTTGTTAGTATATGGGAGGTTTGAGGGAGGAGGGAAGAAAACTTACAACGCCATAACCGGGTATCCTAATCGCGCAACAGTAACATCCGCTACTAGGTCTCCAAGCGAATTTCCAACCGCAAAGATGGTTAATCCCAAGATGGCTTCTGAGATGTCCAAAATCACACCAAACGCCTTGAGCACACCGACGACCTCCCCCGCGATTGTGCTAATCCACGCGACGGAGATGACGAAGCCCAGGAAACAAAGCAGAAAGTAATATCTCGGGCGTTTAGTAGGCGATGTCGTCCATAACAGGATTAGCAGAAGAGATAAGGACAAGACCAGCGCGTACAAGATCATTCGCACGAGGGTTTTTGCAGGCTGGTCCATGTCTTCGAGTGTATTGGCCCAGATTACGAAGGTTACGAATAACGGGCCGGTGAAGAGTTGCAGGATTACGAGCCACCTGTTCCAGGTTGGTTCGGACGAGTTTTCGTCGGGGGCGGTGGAGGATAAGGCTGAGGGGGTGACTACCAGTGTCTCGCCGCGTTCGAGGGAGGTCGAGTGGGTTAGGGTTGGTTTTGTGGGCGGACTTGGGACAGGAATGGAGATTGGGTTTGCGTCCGAGGTTGAAGACTGAGCTAGGTTGCTGTCGACGCTCTGACGAGGAATCGAGACATGATGATTGAGATCTAGCACCGAGGGGGAGCGCGAGCTGAGGGCGGATCGGGATCCGACCGACTTAGTCCGTCGGCGGTATTCTTGCCACTCTGTCTCGGGGCGTATGGCTCCCTCTGACTCGGTCAGCACGGGAATGGCAGTGTGGCCCAAGTGTCCGGACGGTGGACGGTCGACGAGCGCTGGGTCATCATCGCCATCCTCATCGTCGTCGTCTTGGGTTTCGACTACAGGCAGAGTGGTCACAAGAAGGAAAATGCTCGGGACGGATACCAAGCTGAGAGCTTTGTCCCATATGGTCTTCTCTCTCCAGCCCTGCAGGGTCGGGAAGAGTGTTTGCAGGAGAACATGCGGCGGCGGGAGGAACTGATAGGGCCACCATTTCACCGGCCGCGGTTCTTCTATGCTGGGATCACTGAATGCCGGGATGGAGGGCCGGCGTCGGTCCGCAGTCGACGGGACGGGGAATCGAAATTCATGGGTAAGGTCAGCGGGGTGAGCTGCTGGCGTCAGAGCTGTTGGAGACTCGGAGAGTCCTGGAAAAGGCGAGAGCGACGGCGAGGTCTGTCCGCTCCCTGTCGGTGAGGGGATGCGTATTTGCAGAAAACGGGACTCATCGGGTATTTGTAGTTGGTGACGATGAAGATGATGACCATGAGACGTGGTAACATCTCCGCCAGGCGTAAGAATGGGGCCAATCGGCGGAGCAAGATGTCCGTCGACAGTCCTGGCCGTCGAGCTCGCCCGCGTATCTGCACTGGCCAGCCGAACACCGCCAGACCCTGGGGGCGGTATTGCGTCATTGTTCAGATTCAACGGCGTATTCCCCGACGATAGTGCCCGTTCCCTCGTATAGCCCGGTACAGGCTGAGAGGATGCATCACTGAGAGGACTAACCGCGCCATCCGGAAAGTTTGATGTAGACCATTCCACGCTATTCCATCTGTGATGGCCCCCATGTTGGTGGTCGTATGTGTAGCCCCGACTCGGGACAGGTCCCAAATGCATATTCCTGGCCTTGTTCAGCGAAGACAGAATAGACCTGAATTCCAAGGCGCCAACCAAACTCGGTCTGATGGGCGTAATAGTCGTATTGCTACGCCCCCAGCGAGGACGATTGACGCGCATGCTGCTCGTCATCTCCGCAGCGACATGGATATCGCGTGTTTCGTCGTCATCGTCTTCCGAGCCGCCCTCGCGACCCCGTGAGTCAGTTGCCTCCCGACCCGGCCCATCAACCTCAATCCTAGGACCACGTTCAAGAGCCGAGATATCCTCGGCCTCCCTCGAGCTTCTGCCACCTACCTGCGCATCTTCCACGTCATCGTCGTCGTCTGGCGCATCGCGGTACGGCTCCAATTCATCCACCGGAGTGAAGAAATGTCCCCGGGCAGCAGCCTCCTTTTGCCTCCTGCGCCGCTGACGAACGGTATACCAATGCCAGCCGACCACGACAATGACATAAAACACGTAGAACCCAATCATGGTACAACACTCCCAGATATGCAGCTCACCATCGGCGAGAAACACCATGGTGAAGCTGATGGCGGCGATGAAAAAGACGATATCGCGCACAAACGTCCTCTTGCTGACCTTGAACTCCCTCACCAGCGCCATCGAACCTGCCACAACCGCCGTGATGAATCCTGCGGCACCAAGCAGCTCGCCAACGGCCATGCTCCCGCTGTTAGACCCCATGGCGGCAAACGTGCTGAACACATCCGGGGATCCATTTCCAAAGGCCAAGAAGGTAACGCCAGCGAGACTCTCGCTCAGCCCGAGCACGCGCGCGATGGTGCTCAGGTTGACGCTGAAAAAGTCACTTGCTGCGATGCCGATGGTGGTGAAGAGTAAGGCGAGCCATATCGCAAGGACGATGAATGCGACAGGGCGTGCTTTGCCTAGGTGGCAGTAATAGAATGGTAAGTAGTGAATCAGGCCGGCCTCGTCGTCGAGGCAGTTCTTGATGACAAAGGCGCATTGGTCTGTTGCTGAGTGGACTGCGCGACAATCGACTGGTTCTCGGAGGAGTAATTCTTCAACTGGAGTAGTGTCATGATTTCGTTTTGAGATGAGTGGTGACGTGGGTGACTTTTCAAACTGAGTATCGGTCTTCCCTCTGGTGGTGTCAAAGAGGAATGCGCAAATCGCGATGGTGGTGATTAATAAGAGGGAGACGATAAATGGCCGGGCGCTATATCGTCGCCGACGTCGCCCGCGACGGCTGGTGACATTCTGGGCTCTCCTTCCCTCTGGCTCAGGTGGTGAAAAGCGAATGTCCCACATTCTAACCATGATATAGGAGGTTGTTTGTTTGACGACGAAGTTGGAGTCTCATGGCATCTTGTCATTCGTTCAGAACAACGAATACCACATGTGCTCCCACGACCATCGCGTCTCGAGTAAAGATGTTGTGAAATGAATGAATCTTGCTAGGAGGGATAATTCACTTCATTCTAATATAATATCGTCTTTGTAGGAATTCGTTTGTAGGTCTCGTGCTGTAGGTGTTTGTTGTGATATGAGATCATTCAGGTTCGGTGTTCGGTGGTGTAACAATCAATGGTGAGTGGATGACCTTCTGGGAGGTCCCGTCCCTTATCTCGAGGGAGCCTGTTCGCCTGCAAGACAGTTGGCTAGCGTCGTTTTGGGGCGTCGCAACGGCCTTCCATAACAAGAAACGGGACGACTGTCTCGTAATATCTGTAACGGCCGCCAGCGTCACTTTTCCTTGATTTTGATACTGCTATCAATGTGGCTTGACCACTGGCGAATAGAGTCGTCGTCTGTCTCCCGGACAAATTGAGTATTCGAGAGAAAGAACTCCTTTTCCTTAAGGTTATTTGGTAAGCTTTTTGATAAGCTTCCTCGCGCCTCATCCCACGTCCTGTATGTATTGATACTTGCCACATTGTACTGAGGCGAGTCACTTGCCACCATTCATCACTGCGTCGCATAAAGTTGCGCATGAGTTGAAAGAGTAGCTTACAATTTGTTGTTGGTCTTTCGATAATACCATATCAATCTTCATGAATCATGCTACATGGAATTGTGACATCTTTACCTCAACGTTCAGACCTCATGTTGCTGTACATGTACCTTCGACATACTCCGTACATGCTCAAGGCAAAGGGGAAAACAGTACGTCATGCAGCTCGACCCGCAAGAGTTTGATTCATTCCATTGTCTTTCATGGTTTTCATCCCCTGGTTGTCATGCGCTTCAAAAACTGCTCCAGATACAAACATCGCTTATACTTGCCGATCGAGATTCACAGGCGGCCTCGTTTTTTTAC